TCAATCTTGTTGGTCTGGAACCAAGATGTTGCACGTTTACTGGTGTGTTAGGGGTCGTTGTCTTGTTGGAACACCCATTTCAAGGGCATTTCCTCTTCAGCATAAGGCAGCATGACCTCTTCAAGTATTCTGATGTATTCAAACTGGTCCATGATCCCTGGTATGCGATAAATAGGTCCAACACCGTAGTATGAGAAACATCCCCATATCATGATGCTTGCACAACCAAGCTTCACTGTCTTCACAGTGTACTGTGGCTTGAATTCAGTGTTTGGGGGTCGTCTGACAAATTGTCTCCGGCCACTAAACCCAAAAAGAACAATCTTACTTTCATCAGTCCACAAAATGTTGCGCCATTTCTCTTTAGGCCAGTCAATGTGCTCTTTGGCAAATTGTAACCTTTTCAGCACGTCTTTTTTTTTAACAGTGGGACTTTGCGGGGGCTTCTTGCAGATAGCTTGGCTTCACATAGGCGTCTTCTAATTGTAACAATACTCACAGGTAACTTTAGACCTTCTTTGATCTTCCTGGAGCTGATTCTTGGCTGAGTCCTTGCCATTTTGGCTATTCTATCCAATCGAATAGTAGTTTTTCGCGGTCTTCCACATCTTTCAGATTTTGGTTGCCATTTTAAAGCATTTGCGATCATTTTAGCTGAGCAGCCTATCATTTTCTGCACTTCTTTATATATGTTTTCCCCTCTCCAATCAACTTTTTAATCAAGGTATGCTGTTCTTCTGAACAATGTCTGGAACGACCCATTTTCCTCTGAATTTCAGAGAGAAATGCACTGTAACCAGCATATACAACATTTGCTGCCTTCTTTCCTTAAATAAGGGCAATAATTGCCACCTGTTTTTCAAAGAATGAATGACCTTGTCACAATCATGCACACAGGGAGAGGTGCAGTTCTCCATTTTGCTCCAAGTTTCTGCATTGTGGTATTTCTCTTAAACTCCTATGCAAACACCTGAAGGTGTAGTATTGTGCATATAAGAGCCAGACGCAGGCTCTCGCTGTATTAAGAAGGTTTCATGTATCTCCTCATTCCCCTCCCTCAGGAATGCAAGCAGCGGTACGATGCTGAGCCTGCCTAACAATTATTTTGCCACATAAGATATTGGCTTGGCCAGGATAGGATGATTCCAGTTGAGTTTGTCTTAGAAAAGAAGAGTTTTTTTTTCTTTTGGGTTCAGTCAGACAAGTGAGGAGCCAGACAAGTGAGGACGTGGCTCTGTACCATCTAGCTGACCAAGAGTCTTGTTGGACCATCGCAACTAAGTGCAAGACCCGAAATCCTTCCTTTTTGCTCATCAGACTTGGAACTGCTTAACCCCAGACATTTATTTGGCAAGTACTTATTTACCTAAACTTCTTTCTGTTATCTGTTTGCTGTGCTGTTGTGCTCTGTATATTTATATATATTGGTTACTCAATCTTCTTTTTCTGTAAATATTTCTACTGCACCCTTTTGACCTTTTAGTAATAAATCTTACTTTTTGAAAGTGTTGAATTGTTTCTATAGCTCTTAATTGCAATTTACGAATCCCTGCCTCTAAAAAGAACGCTACTATGAGTGTTTACCCCCTGTATAACCAGTCTGTAGAGATAGCGGTATACTGTCGATTAACCAATCATCCTAGTGTATTGCTGAGTTTCCTCTTTCTCTGTATAAAAAGCAGGTGGTGGCAGTGTGAAGGGTTAATTGCGTAATTAACCTGACCCAGTAACAATCGCTCCCAGTGTCAGGGCTCCGGGTATGACCAGAGGTGTGTGGACTGACACAGGGAAACGCCGGCTTCAGATATGGTATAAACAATATGATTTATTACGACTAACAATACAAAGCGCAGTGCAAAACTAAACATAAAACACAGTGCAAACAAACCAAACCACCTACAGATAACAATACATACAATGCAAGAGTCGTCAGGCAGGCCGGGTCAGTAGCAAATGGGCAAACGGAGTACCAGGAACAGGTGCAAGAGTGGTCGGGGTCACAAGCTGGGTTCAGTAACTCACGGGCAGCGCGGTGCAAAGGGTCAGGCAGAGAATGGTCAGGGTCACAAGCCAGGGATCAAACAGGAGAAGTCAGCAGAGGTCAGGATCAGGCAGGGTCGGCAACAAGTCAGGCAGGAACAGGAACACAGGATACAAGATACAGGGGCCCATGGAAAAACACACACCAAGGCCCTGACTGTGAGTCTGGCCATTCCTTAAATACAACCCCTGCAATCAGCTTCAGGTGTTTGGCTGACTGCAGGGGTGAGTCTCTGATTGCTGAGAGCACCCGCTGGCCAGCCCTGGTACTGCAGCCCACAAGGCAGGTGAGTCCCAACATTATTGGCAAGTCCATTCCTGACACCCAGGCTGCCGGTACATAGATTGTGTCCAATTAGCTGGAAAATCGTTGTGCAGGGTGCAGCTGGGCGTGGCATTGTTACGCACGTGTGACAGCGCAGTTTTAGATTGACTAGTCCTATCACGAGTTTGGTGAGAAGAGCTGGGGTCTGACGCCGCGCCTGTCACAGATCTCACTAATAGAACTCCACACTGCTATTATTTTGAACATGCCCCTTTAATTAGTAAATCAATAACACAGAATCACCAGCATGTATGTCATGACTGTTGGGTCTGATGGATTTCTAGTACTCTACTACACCTGCTAGTAAATTATTTGCCATGTAGAAATATCATTTCTACCAAAAACAGTGATTGATCAGGCTAGTGATGTCTGACTGCTATTATTTTGAACACAACTGTGTATATATATATATATATATATATATATATATATATATATATATATATATATATATATATATATATATATATATATATATATACACACATATACACACACATATACCATATAGAAAATAACGAAAATATCTGCAGTTAACATCACAACACTTTCTATAGTTGTCAGCTGCCATTTCTGACCTACACATTCGAAGTAGCTATGTTGCTAAAATGGAGACTCTAGTTCTTGTGACTATCAAGGATTTCCCTCACATTGGAGGATTTCCTCTGACTTCCTGTTTTGGCTATGGAACAGAAAGTGAAGGGAACTCTTCCCTATGGGACACAGATGGGGAAAAAATGACAAGTGTTATTACCATCCCTTAATTCGAATCTTGACCAATTCAGCAGGAACCGACCAAGATTTGAACCATCTATGGGCAGTTGTATGACTTACGCACAACCAGCCTGTCATATTTTTCATGCGGTTATTGCCAGCAACTGTAGCTGATAGCAATAATTCACTGTGTTCTCCCGGAGAGGACGGCTCCCTCTGCAGCACCCCCCTCCCTGCTGGGATAGGGATTCCCTCATCAACACTGGCCATGTTGATGGGGGAATCAAGTGATGTACTTTCCTGCAACCTGTGCCCTTTGCCTTTAGTAATATTTTAATAATGATCAGGTCACAGCTGTTCACATTTCCAAAAGAGATCCTTCAAAATGTTTTCGAAACATCAATATATAGTTATAGCCCAATGTATATATCACTGGTCTGATAGAAAGAATACACACCAATGTTTTACAGTAGTTGGTATTCTCATTTCTGCCCTCTAAAAAAATTGTTCCTCATCACAGTTCAGCAGAAAATACCTTCTTATCTTGTGAGAAATGCAGTGTACAGTTCCTGTATGTTGAAAAGACAGTAAAAAAAAACAATGTAATCTGTCTTGTGTAAACTACTAATCCCAATAACTGCTATGTAACAGAGATGAACAAAGGCAGACATGTTTGTGGATCCATGAAAAACTAGCATTATTTAAGCTCCTAGAAGCTAAATAGAGTTATCCTATGTGTCCATGCCCACTCCTTTAGGCCAGGGCTTGAAAAAGCTGCTCGCCCACTTGCCAAATGCGAGGAGAAATTCCTCTGTGGCGAACGGCTGCGAGCGGTGAGCACAGATGAAGCATGGAGCGACTGCACCTGTGCTCCAAGCCTCATTGTGAAGCCGAGTTACGGTTTACAACTTCCGGTTTCCGGCTTCTGCGGCACCGCCGCCGAGGGGACAGGTGCAGGAGAGGTCCGCTCTCCTCCGCTGAGAAGAGACACCCTCTCCACCGCCGCGGGGGGACTTGGGGGGGACAGTAAGTACTGTATACAACATGTCCTATCACTATAATGGAGTACTGGGGAGCTTACTCAGTAATGTATATCCCATTCCCCTGTACTCCATTATAGTATATGTATACAGTATGTATATCCCAGCTCCCCTGTACTCCATTATAGTGATATGACATGTATACAGTATGTATATCCCAGCTCCCCTGTACTCCATTATAGTGATATGACATGTATACAGCAATATATATCCCAGCTCCCCTGTACTCCATTATAGTGATATGACATGTATACAGTAATGTAATATCCCAGCTCCCCTGTACTCCATTATAGTGATATGACATGTATACAGTAATGTATATCCCAGCTCAGTTTCAGTTTCAGTTTCCCCATTTGTATTCAAATCTGCTAATGCATTTCTCATCCCCCTCCCCCCCCCCCCCCCCCCCGACTGACAATGGTGCTCTCTGCCATGTTCTGTGCACATTCCTCCAGAGTGGTGTCTCACAAATATAGGAGGTGTGTTACTGGCCAGGTCACCAGGTGCAAGCAGAAGGAAAAAAGCCAAAGAATAGAAGACTAATGCAGCCACCACATCTAATGATTAGGAAGCTGCAATATGATACATTTTTGGTTTTAGGTTTAATACAGCTTTAAGGTCCAGCCTGGATTACAACATTGGCTCCTAATAAAGATACAGTGAAGAAGTGAGTGTAGCCACAAAGAGACAGGAAGTGTGGTATGTATATATAGGATCAACAGATGAAAAAAGTCTGAAAAAAAAAATGCATCCACCACTACATCTAAGGAGTGGTAAGCTGCAATAGAATACATTTTTTGTTTTTGGACTTCGAAAACCTTAAAATGGAACTACAGGTTACACATGACATACTTTGTAAAACTTTTATTTATGGCCCATACCCTTGAGAAAATGTTTTCCAGAGAACTGGTCAAAAGATTTCTTGGCTTTATTCTTGAGAATATCCAACTTGAACCGGCCACTGGGGGCAGAGTTCTCCGGCAGGGAGCTGTTCGATGCACTCTGAAAACAATCATTGAAGAGATTAAGCATTCAAAATACAGACCTGATGTTTTTATTCTTAGTTCTGATAAATGGAACATTAAAAAAAAAAGGCGCCTTTATGTTGATTATCTGTCTCTCCAATAAGATCGGATTCTTTTTTTTTTGCACTAGTTACATTATTCTACTACATAGCAGTCAGATGACCAACATATAGCCATTCTGTTGTAATCTGTATTATTATTATATATTCCAATCATCATCACCATTGTTATTCTTTAACACTGGCCCATCTAAAGTGACACTATATCAAGAGAAAGATCAGTTCTTGCTTTGCCAGACAAGATACATTTTGCAACATTTTAACTAGCAGTTTAAAGCAGAACTACACTGCATCTAAAAACACCATAAACCAAAAGCACTAACTCATTTTTAATATTCAAAGCAAACTCACCCATCCTTCCTTGTCTACATGCTTTATTTTGCTTAGAAATTATTTAGAAAACCACCCCCTTAGCAATTCTGGCCAAGGGCATCTTAAGGGCAGATGATTCATGTAGCATTTACTTCCTGGAATCCATCTGTCCTTAGCTCAGGCTTGTTTGTTTTATGCTCGAGTTCTCTTGGATTTTGTAAGTACCTTCTTCCGTATAGGCAGATCTTCAGAAGGTAGTCAAATATAAAACAGACAGCAGAAATCTTTTATTCACTCATACAGCAGTGTAGGCTTTCTCCGTGTCTGATCTGCATAAACTGAGTGGACACAGACCTGTCTGCCCCCTCTGCTGTGAGTGGATCCCCTGCCGATCGTAAAAAGGGGCCCAACCTTCTTACCTTCACCTAACCCTTACATTTAAACCCAAATTACTAGGCTTAAGCCAAAATGTAAGCTGGGATCTTAACTACTGGGTGACACCCACCTTAAATTGGAGTAATACTTATATTATGAGCAGAAAGCATCAGCAACCAAACATGATGTTCCTACGACTTTTCCCATCTGCGCCAAAACCATGTGCTTTGCAAACTGTGTTGCGTAACGTTTTAATGCTGCTTCTGGCTGTGGGGACACTGCAGGCCCTATTCTTGTGTACAGCCATCCCAAGGAACTCCCTGCTTCTATCAAATGAGCACATTTCTTGTCCGCTATACACAGACACGTGTCTTTCTTGCTTCAGCACAATTTATATCCAACATTAAATGGGTCACTCTCTTTTGAAGCAGAGAAATCACACAAACATGGTTTCAGATATGTTTTGAACTTCTTTGGCTACATACAAAAAAGCCAATAATACTGTACTGTGACCAAAAAAATAGCAGCAACCTGGTCATAAGGAACATTTAGTCAACCAGTTCATCAAGTTTGCTGTAAAGGCTGGTGTAACTAATACGCAGCTTCTAATACAATACCTGAAGTGGCAGAGTACTAGTGAAACCCACATACTTCCTATGGCAACTTTTTGTGAGCGATAAGTAAAATGTCAATAAAAATATATAATAGGCCAATGCTACATATTAATTTTATTTCTGTATTCATTCAGAACATTTACATTGAGCTTCAGATTGCTGAATATCTTTCAATTATGATTATGTCTTCACCTCCAAGATACATAAATGCAGATAGTTTCCTTATCTGCGCCAGAAGCTAGACCAAGAAACTAATTTGATGTGATCTAACAGCGAACAAGTTAAAAACATTTAATGCATCTTCTAACATTTTCAAACTCTGAGCCACTACGGACCTTTCTTCCTCACCGATCTGCAGCTTCGCTCTAATGAAGTGTGATAACAGCCAGGCTGTGCAGCCATAGGCACAATCCCAGACTAATTTATTAGAGATTCAACCCAGAAATGGGAAACATTTAGCATACAAATCAGACACATTCACAGTATCATGAAGGCATATCATTTGCCACATCAGAAACCAAAAATCCATTCTTCACTGTTATGTTCCAGAGAATATAGAAGTATATTTTTCATTTAAATGAAAGTTGTATCGGAAAGGAACATCACTAATGTCAGTAAAGATCAGAGCTGGTCACTGGAGTATAATGTATTAGTCATGGCTGCTCATGATGTGCAAATCAAGCTCATAGCAGACTAAAATATCTTTGCTGGATACACCACATGGCACATCTGCTGTTTACGTTGTCTATAGACTGATTAATATGTCTTTAGCTCTGAGACCTGTAACAACAAGGAGCCTTCTTCTCATTATAGATACAAAGATATCACCCATTTAAAGTCTGACTAACATTTTATACAATAAAACACACCATGTAGCATTTTTTAAAAAATATACTTATATGGAGAATAAACAAGAACTTGTAAACCGCTTTCCCGCTGCCCTATAGCAGTATTTCTGCAGTGCAACATCACGTATAAATACTGTATAGATGTGATTTTTGCATTTTCGGGTATGGGGCGCATGCCACAATTGGCAGTCTCAGGCTTTTGTGGAGTTGTGTTCAGAGGTTTTGACAAAAACCCCAAAAGCTCCAAATACATGAGTGTAAAAGCAGCAGTGTTCTGCCTTCAGGAGGGAAATTAATTTAGCAATATTAAATTCGGCCACTAGATGGAGCCCACAATAAATTTATAGTTTTAAAGAAACTAGAGACTCTTGAGAAGAGTTAAGTTAAAAAAGAAAAAAAATTCAGATCATTCTGAGAAAAGGAGACAGATGCATCCTGGGAGCGCAGACTGCATCTTAGAAAAAGGGAGAAGGAACCAGCCATAGGAGCACATATTGTGGCCTAAACCTGCATCCCTATGGGCAGCATTACTGGCGAGCATGGACTTCTTGCCATCCGCAGCTTAATCATTTCATTGTGATTTTATATTTCATATATTGATTATATGTACGTCTGTTTTTTCTAATCGTTTCAACAACCCTGTTTTGTTAATAAAACTTCAAGATTACTTTCAGTCTGGCTTATTGCAGAATAGGATGGTTTAGTTGCATGTCAAGTTACATACAGGGAGGCCTTAGCCTGGCCCATATTATTCAGGAAAATGCTGCCAAACTAGCTAAGAGCTGCCCCTTTAGGTCCAGGAAATGGACTACCCAACAATATTAGTGATATTATTAGAAGATTAGACATGGGTTTGTGCATATATTTTCCACAAACTTCACAATAGTGTAAACATTGAAATATCTTCTTTAACAGTTTGATACAATAAAGGAATTCCAGATAATAATGTAGCTTCCCATCAGTCTTTTCCCCATGTACCTCTCAGTACGGCATACTGCTTGTCCGTCTAAGCTCTATTGCAAACCTATTGCTTAGCATTTCTTAGTAGCCAGTATCAATACCATGAACTTCAGCAAGATCACATAAATAAGAGCTGCATTAGAGATCTTGAATACATGATTTACCGACTGCATCTCTCCGATATGAACATGAGTTTTCTGCTTGGTCTCACATAACTGTCTAAGATGAAGTATGACAAGTTCATTCTCTTCCTGGTCGCTTGTAGCTTTCATTTTCTAAAATGGGTAATAACACAGAAATGGTTATACACCAAACATGCTCATGTGTATTTTCTACATACACAAGAAAACTATTAAAATATTTCAAAACAATTAATTTCAGTGGCCATTATTGAACACAATCTGCAGGGCAAAACATCTTTGGACTGAATAACAAAAGTTACGAATTAATTTTAAACTAGGGCAAGCATTGTGAAATTAAAGATTAACCAGTTCAATCAGTAGTTTATTGTTGATTGCACCATAAAATTCCTGGTAAAAACAATTCAATACCAGGTACCCTGAAGATGTCCAAAAAAATAATTCCATACTCTTAAATACCGATTAGTTAATGCAGCATTATTTAGAACAAGTGGCCAAATAGAAAAGGTTTCTTAACCAGCTGCAAAAACTTCGTTATATGTGTTAGCATTTCTTCCATCTGTGGATTTTGTTTTCTTTTTTTAAGAAGTGATGCTGCAAGTCACTATGGAATTTTTCAAGAAGTGTGTTAATAAGCAATCATTAAGCCTGGAGATGCTTATTAAGGCTCCGACTGTAACCATATAAATCATGTATAATAATAACCATTCCGTGGACCACGAGTTGCAATCAGCAACTGAACTGGTCACTCTTCAGTGTACATCAAACAGGTGTTTGAACACAATCAAAACAAGAAATACCTGAACACGTTCAAAGATGTCAGCTTGTTCATTGTCTGACAGCAAAGACAGTTGTCTCTGTATTACCAGTTTGGCTCTTGGAGGATACAGCCCTAAACAATCAAAGGTAACATTTTCAGTTAGTAAAGAAAAATAGATGGGCAATTTCAACAATAATAATAAAGCCTCTTTAACCACAAGCCTACAGGGCACTTATACCCCCTTCCTGCCCAGGCCAATTTCTAGCTTTCAGCGCTGTCGCACTTTGAATGACTATCGCGCGGTCATGCAACACTGTACCCATATGAAATTTTTATAATTTTTTTGGGACAGATAGAGCTTTATTTTGGTGGTATTTTATCACCTCTGGGTTTTTTTTTTTTTTCTTAAACAAACCAAAAACCACTGAAATTTTTTTTTTTTTTTTTAAAGTTTTTTTCTAATTTTTTGTTATAGAATTTTGTAAATACACCCTGTTCCAAATTATTATGCAAATTATATTTTTCTCAGTTACCTAAATAATTGATGTAAATAACAGTCAGCATAGTTCTCATGTTATCAACTATTAAGAGTACAATTCAAATTTTATTGAACAAACCTCCTAATAACAGTATTTTTTTTTTAAACATAAACACTTCCAATGCACTGTTCCAAATTACTACGCACAGTAAGTTTCAAAACACTTTATAGGTTGTATAGAACTGAAAATTGTCATTTGCTGTGTTTGCAGCATATTTACTGAAATCAAAAGCTATTTCAATCAAACTTTTAACAACATTTTAACAGGTCACATTACATTTTATCATAGGACTCCTTATTTGATAGCAGCTTCACAAGTCTTGTATCCATTGAACTTGTGAGTTTTTGGACAGTTTCTGCTTGAATTTGTTTGCAAGATGTCTGAATAGCCTCCCAGAGCTGCTGTTTGGATGTAACCTGCCTCCCACCCTCATAGATCTTTTGCTTGAGGATGCTCCAAAGGTTCCCAAGAGGATTGAGGTCAGGGGAGGATGGAGGCCACACCATGACTTTCTCTCCTTTTATCCCCATAGCAGCCATTGATGCAGAGGTATTCTTTGCAGCATGAGATGGTGCATTGTCATGCATGAAGATGATTTTATTACGGAAAGCATAGTTCTTCCTTCTGTACCAGGTAAGAAAGTGGTGAGTCAGAAACTCCACATACTTTGCAGAGGTCATCTTTACACCTTCGGGGACCCTAAAGGGCCGACCCGCTCTGTTCCCATGATCCGGCCAAAAACATGACTCCACCACTGCCTTGCTGGCGTCTGTTGGAACAGGGTGGCCGTCCACCAACCATCCACTACTCCATCCATCTGGACCATCCAGGTTTGCACGTCACTCATCAGTGAACAGGACTGTTTGAAAATTAGTCTTCATGTATTTTTCTGCCCAATGCAGCCGTTTCTGCTTGTGAGCATTGGTTAGTGGTGGCCAAATAGAAGGTTTATGCACAGTTGCAAGACTCTGGAGGACTCTACACCTTGATGTCCGTGGGACTCCAGAGGCACCAGCAGCTTAAAATATCTGTTTGCTGCTATGTAATGGTATTTTAGCAGCTGCTCTCTTGATCCGATGCATGGATCTGGCAGAAATCTTCCTCAATATGCCTTTATCTGCATGAACCCGTCTGTGCTCTCAATCAGCCACAAATCTCTTCATAGTGCGATGATCATGCTTAAGTTTTCGTGAAATATCTAATGTTTTCATACCTCGTCCAAGGCATTGAACTATTTCACTCTTTTTGGCAGCAGAGAGATCCTTTTTCTTCCCCATATTGCTTGAAAATGGTGCTCTGCTTAATAATGTGGAACACCCTCCTTTAGTAGTTTTTCCTTAAATTGGGCTCACCTGCCAATCTAATTATCACAGGTTTCCGAGATTGTTTTCAGTGATCAAAAAGAGCCCTGACACACAATGACATCCATGAGTTAAACTGAGAAACAAAATATTTAATCTTTGTGACACTTAAATAGCATTTGCATAATAATTGGGAACAGGGTGTAAGTGATTTTTCTCCTTCACTGATGTGCGCTAATGAGCGCAGTAATGAGGCTGCACTGATGGACACTGATGAGGAGGCACTGGTAGGTGGCACTGATAGGCATTGACAGGCATCACTGATGGGCACTGAAAGGCAGCACTGATACATGGCACTGATAGGCGGCACTGACTGGCACTGATATGCTGCACTGGCAGGCACTGATAGGCGGCACTGATAGGTGACACTGAAAGCAGCTCAGATGGCCACTGATATGTGGCACTGATGTGCACTGGTAGGCACTGATATGTGGCAATGATGTGGCACTGATGGGCACTGGCACGAGGCACTGATGAGCACTGACACAAGGCACTGATAGACACTGACAGGTGGCACTGCTGGGGCTACACTGATCATCAGGGCACACTGATACATGTCCCCTCCGCGGAAAGCCGATTAACGGCTCTCCTCTCGAGCTGTCAGCGTGACAGCTCGAGAGGAGAGAAATGCCAATAACCGGCATTTCCCTGTTTACATGTGATCAGCTGTGATTGGACACAGCTGATCACATGACCGAGCAGACAGCTTCGGCTCTTTCCATGATCGGTGATCCGCTGTGTCTGAGGGTCCGTGCTCCCTGAGAATAAGAATGGGAGGACGTCATATGACATCCTCCCAGAACGAGAGAACCACCTTGTGTCCGCCATATTACTATATGGCGAGTGGGAGGTGGTTAAAAGCACACCGGAGTGATCTGGATATAGATGCATTGTTGTCTATGGAACAATGCACACAGCTACATAAAGATCAGTAATACAGCAATGAGTACAGGGTCGTAAAACAAAACAGAAAATTTTTTGTTTGAGTACATATATATGCGATTATATGTGTCTATACACACATTTAGGCGCATATGCATGTGTATATTGCAACACTGGCAATGAAGAAGAATTTTACGCGTATGCTTGTATGCATTTGCGCAAGGTCCTTATGGAACATTTTGCTCAGGATCTTTCGGTCAACAACATCCAGAGTATAAATATCAGCAAATTATTAGGTCTGTGTGCAACTAGCTTAAAAACACACTAAACCCTGCCCCTTTCCCGATACACACTAAACCCTGCCCCTTTCCCGATACACCCTAAACCCTGCCCCTTTCCCACACTAAAAACCCTGCCCCTTTCCCGATACACTAAACCCTGCCCCTTTCCCCATACCACTAAACCCTGCCCCTTTCCCATACACACTAAACCCTGCCCCTTTCCCCATACACACTAAACCCTGCCCCTTTCCCGATACCACTAAACCCTGCCCCTTTCCCCATACACACTAAACCCTGCCCCTTTCCCCATACACACTAAACCCTGCCCCTTTCCCCCCCATACACACTAAACCCTGCCCCTTTCCCGATACACAAACCCTGCCCCTTTCCCCATAACACCCCTGCCCCTTTCCCCATACACACTAAACCCTGCCCCTTTCCCGATACACACTAAACCCTGCCCCTTTCCCCATACACACTAAACCCTGCCCCTTTCCCGATACACACTAAACCCTTTTCCCCATACACACTAAACCCTGCCCCTTCCCCATACACACTAAACCCTGCCCCTTTCCCGATACACACTAAACCCTGCCCCTTTCCCGATTTGGTTTTCCCGATACACACTAAACCCTGCCCCTTTCCCGATACACACTAAACCCTGCCCCTTTCCCCATACACACTAAACCCTGCCCCTTTCCCGATACAACCTATAATGCCCCTTTCCCCATACCTTTCACTACTTTTCCCGATACACACTAAACCCTGCCCCTTTCCCGATACACACTAAACCCTGCCCCTTTCCCCATACACACTAAACCCTGCCCCTTTCCCGATACACACTAAACCCTGCCCCTTTCCCCAACACACTTGTTTCCCTCCCCCTTTTTTCATTTTTTCTCTTCCTTTCTACATTCCTGTTTGGTTTGTGTAACAATTCAGATAGATCAACCTTTAATGTTTATTACTTACTAACTGAACATTTCTTTGACTCTGGCATATGTAACATTGTCATGATTTTCTTTCGCCTTTCAGTCTTTTTCCTGGAATGTATATATTTTCCTTTTTTTGGTCTTTTCTGTATTGACTTATGCAAAAATGAAGATTTAAAAAAAAAAAAACACAAAAAAAAAAAACAAAAAACAAAAGAAACACACACTAAAGCCAAGAATTTTGTGACTATAGTTTTATAGTCCCAAATGGAATATACACTAGTGTTATACTTCATGCACCTAGGACTTTTTTTTTTCTCTGTGGACCCCTATGCTCCAGGGCAGGAAAAAGCAGAATTAAACATGCACCCAAAGGTGCCAGGTTTAGGCTTGTCAAGCACTTGGGCTTTATCAGACAGGCTGCTGTACGCACTTGCTAAATGTTGGCCAGTTTCTGTTGAACTGATATTTGGGCCGTGTGAACCAGCCTTAAGCCTGGACAAGTTTAAATCAGTTGGTTTAAATCGTCCAGCAGAACTTCCCTCTAAGATCATGTTCACACCTCGCTAAACAAGTAAACTCCCATGGTTTCCAATGGCCTCCGTTCATACTTGAGCATTCTGTCGCCTGTAGCAAAACGTCAGTCGCTCAAAAAAGTACTTGAGCTACTCTTCAGGCAGATCTGAGCATTGTGTCCCCATAGACTTGAACGGAAAACGCCTGAACAGAGGGAATTAGCATTTTTTCAATCAATTTTTTTTGGCGTTTTCAGCTATTTCTACTGGCCGCAGCAAAAACACCTAAATTAAAAACACCTGAAAAAACAATTGTTTTCTGTGTGCCCTTGCAGAGACCTGCTTTTTCTAATGCACAAAAGATGTAGCTTTGTATAGTAACCAGTCAGCTTCTAACTTCAGTTTTTTCAAATCCAGTGAGCTAATAAATTTAAGTAGCATTGTCAACCATTTTCAGTCCTCCCTTCTGGACCAAAGAACTCATTGTTCTAACATTAGGTATAGGTGTTTTGTACTTGAAGAATTATTATAGAGATGAACGTTTTGAATATGTGGGTCCCTTAAAAGTTCACACCTTGACCCAGTTGCAGCTGCTACAAAATACTTGGTGCTTTCAGGCATTGGGAAGTAACTGACCTCTTTGCTCCCTGTAAGCTCTTGGTATTTTGCAGTACTTTGTGGTGGTGAGAGAAAGTGAACAGGCATACAGGGTCTCCTTCAAGCAGTATTAAACCCAAAAGCAAACATTTATTATATTGCAGCTTACCAATTTTTAGATGTGATAGCTGCACTAATTTTGTTTTGCTCTCTTTCTTCTATTTTCATTTGGTGATCCAGCCAGTAAGTCTGTTGTTTTTCAACAGAACAAGCTCTCCTCCAAATGTATCAATTAACATAGTGGAGACAAACCATTTACCACTGATGGGTGCTTACAAAACTGTTGCAGTAACGTCTTGTGTAACTGTAATGTGAGTTTGACTTCAGTTTGTTAGTGTATCTAAATCTGCTAGTACATCTAACTTTCTCCTCCCACAGACAATGCTGCTGTCCAAAGGTGCTCATCCAGAGTGGAGGCACTCGAATGCAGGAGGTGCGTTACTGGACAGTTCACCAGGTGAAAACAGAGGGGAAAAAGCCTAAGAAAAGAAAACGAATGCAGCCACCACGTCTAATTATTGGTATGCTGCAATATATAACATTTTTTGTTTTGGGTTCATCACCACTTTAAGCCAAATATTTTTTTTTTAAGAATCTATAAAGGGCCAGTTCACACTACATGTGTTTCAGTTGCTCTCTTTCTGCATCCAAAATGCACAGAAAGTAGGTTACATGGTTGTCAAGTCATAGTTCACATCAGTGCTTGCAGTTCCAGTTGCAGAAAGAAAAGTAGAACATGCTGCATTTTTTCTGCACAGAACTGTACTGGAACGTGGTAAAAATGCACTGGAATGCACATGTCCCTATTTAAATTTAAGAAAAGAAGGGGAAAAATGAACTGGAATGGATCAAAACGCACTGGAACGCATAAAAAATGCACTGAAATGTGTCAAAAACAAGCATGCAAAAATGCATCTGAACTGCATTTCTCTAGTGTGAACTGGCCCTCAATCTCTGAGCTACTACTAAATGTGAAAGCATTCCAATGACTTCAGAACTGGAAATAAATAAAAGACTTTCCTTTCTGTTACAATAGTGAAATGGAAACTCAGTCATACCTTCGATTCGCTCACACAGTTTGTGCAGAGCATGCATAGGACAGGCCTCACACAGCTTAATTTGGGTCTTGGCATTTTGGAGTGCAGCAGCAGTGCTGAAAGCTTGCTTCAATGTCAGCATGATTTCATCCACCTGATGGGCAACCAAAGACACACAATGAATAGCATGCAGGAAAAGAAAGATAATAAAGTGTTTGTATAGCCCAGGGGTGGGCAACTGTGGCTTTCCAGCTGTTGGTGAACTACAAGTCCCATCATGCCTCTGCCTTAGGGAGTCATGCTTGTAACTGTCAGTTTTGCAATGCCTCATGGGACTTGTAGTTCTACAACAGCTGGATGCCACAGTTGCACACACCTGGTATAGCCCAATTGTTTTTCGTTCAGCAGAGAATATGGAAGGGCTAAAACCCCTGTAAATTTGTGTATTTGCTGTCTGTACCATAATTTCCCTTGCCTTCCTAGAGGAGACAGCAGGAGATCTGAATTTAGGAAGCTCAAAATTGTCACTGAGGAGATCTATACATAGTCTCTTAAAGGCGCAGGAATATCACCAATAAATGATGAGATCCAATTGTCCATATACATGGGTCATCATTGGATGATCGTGAATTTAACACCTATTTGAGATACCACAGCCACAACTTTATAAGGTATTTGTATACTTGTTGGATTGTGTCAGACTTCCCATCAAATGCAGAATTCTTGGTTGATTGCGTTTTGTAAATGTGAAGTCTTAATAAAGATTAAATGGAACAGAATAATTTATATTCTCTTAAACCTTCAATTTGGGAAAATTGTATTCTTTAAATTGACACTAGCTGAAAAAGGCACCACTCCCACAGAAAATCCTTTAATCATGGCAGCTTAGAGGTTTGAACTGAGCCTGTGTGACACAGATGAGCAGTATGATATATTTCTACATAGTGACATATTGTCCTAAAACACACAAGGGATTTACACAATGAAAGGCAATTTGTTTCAGAAAAAATAATCCTGACAGCAATGAATATCTTGTGCAGCATCTATATGCAGTCTATGCAGCTCAACTAAAATGGATCCAACTTGCTGCAATGTGATAATACGAAGTACGTATTTTATGTTTAACTTTCACACCACCCTTTGAGTGTCATGGATTCATTTCCATGACGCAAAATAAGGTGACATATAAATGAGAATAACAATAAGCTGATCATAGTTGAGCCAGAATTTGTTCAACAAGAGCCAACAATGTGCAATGATTAGCCATATGTCATTATAGAAGATTTGGCCTGTTATTAACAGACTTATTCCTTTATAAAGCGGAGTTCCACTCACACAGTAAAAAAATAAAAGTCAGCAGCTAAAAAAACTGTAGCTGCTGACTTTTAAAAAACACACACTCACCTGTCCCACGATCCCGCAGTGTCCTCCCCGCAGCCCATTTCACCAGCCGTCTGGTGTTCGAGGCATTGGCATCTTCATTGTTGGCACCTGGCTGTGACAGCTTGTGGCTTCACAGCCGGGTGCCCACTGCGCATGCGCGAGTAGCGCTGCGCTTCCTGAATGGCCCCGTAGTCTTCTGGGACCGGTCACGTGTCCCAGAAGACTACAGGGAGGTAGGGTAGGAGTACAGCTTCCACTTCTGATTGCCTAGGGCCGATTGCAGTGGAAGTGGGAGCAGGTACCTGTCAATTTCAGGTACCTGCGTCCCCCCCGCTCCCCGAAGGTGCCAATCCTTAATGGGGAGTGGGGGACCAGTCTTTAAAGCGGAACTTCCCTTTTTGGGTGGAGCACCATAAGTACATAAGATATTTCCCTATTAAAACAGCACAAAAAACACACAGTTACATAGTTAGTCTGGCTGAAAATAGACAAAAGTCCATCCAGTTCAACCATAAATTTGAAAGCGAACAGAAAGCTACCAAAGGACCAAAAAGTGCTTCACCATTTTGGCTAGCAGTGTGGATGAGGTGTATGGAACACAAAACTGTAGACCGACCCTGCAGGAGTCGCTTGGTAATTTGGTTTCTTTTTTCTGCACCTCGGGTCCAAGAACAAAATCGCAGCACCTCTGGCATACCTGGTTGAATGAAAGCTACTGCAAGCACTTATAAGAACACAAGTATAGATATCTTTACATTGGCTGTGAATTAGTACTAGGAAATAGACACAAGACCATTTAGTGGTAAATGAACTCAATGTATTGGTACGGATTGGAATAAATGGTGGTTTGAGCATAACTGAACACACAAAAGGTAGGTTCTGACAGTCTGCTAGACAGTATAATCACTAAGTTCATTTATAAAGTAGTTCTATATCACTAGACTGGGATTGACTTATGAATAAGCGAAGTCAGCAATAAACAGTGCACATAAGAATTAACTGCAATGTGAATACCACTGTAACTAGTCTAGAAGAATGGCTAGGATATGGGGCAATGTCCCCTGAGAGATACCTCTTAGCATAAGCAATAGGCGAAGCTCTCTGTATAGCAACTGTAGAGGGACCACCTTTAGCCCACACTCTTCAGTCAGCTATTTTAGCTCCCAGTTGTACCATGGGTGCACAAAACCATAGTCCCAGTCAAACCTGCAGGCAGCAATAAAACTACTAGATGGCTATATGGTCAGTTCCTCTAGCAGCAGGTAATAAATCCCCATAGCAGCAGTTCACCAGTCCCAGCAATATTGCAGCTCACCATCCGATCACACACATGACGAATAGTTCACTCTCTGCTCTGCAACCAGGCTACAGCTACAGAGAGCAGCTGCAGCCAGTGTTTCTCTCACTCTCCATTCTTAGTCAAGTATCTGGCTACAACTGGTCAATCAGAATTACAGGCCAGGTAAAGTACCTAGGCATTACTAAAGCAATAAATCTGACATTTATCAAACATTCACTGCAGGTGAGTCCTTCGGGTGCATGTCATGACAGCGATTGATTTATTACCAGTGAATACTTGGTGAAAGGCATATTTACTACTTTCTAATTATGCCCCATAATGCATCTTTATGTTTTTTAGCATTAGACTAACATTTGAGATAAAGTATAGATCTTTGTCTGTTCAGTGGGTTAAGGAGATCTGTCAGATTCACTGAGCAGAGCCAGCAAGTGTATCTGCGCCTGTCACATAAGATTGTAATGTGTTCTCATCACACGTAAACACACATGATGTCTCTGTCAAAATAAATCATTAGCTTTATGTGTAACTGTACGGTGCAGTAGGGATACTGTGCCAACATAAAGAGATTAAGCTCTTAAATATACCAGGACCTCTAAGAGTTGTTTGCACCAGCATGGGCATTGTGATGCTATATCATGCCATGACACCTTTATTGAGATATGTAACTCATGATCCATGTATTGCACTTTAAGCATCTCTTAAAGTGCAATGAAATAAACATTGGGTAATAACACTAAACCTCCCATGGAGTGACATATAATATCCTAGGGATTTTTGCCAAATTGCAGAAAATCTAGCACTCCTTGCCTCAAAGTATATGTAAAGTCAAACTTTTTGTGTATTTTTGGACAGAATGTGAGGGCTTAGTATTTGTCAGGTTTTCATATTTTGTGTCCCTTCCGGAGAGATTCGCATACTATTGTCACCGGTACAGAAAATGATGGGAGATCCAAAACTTTATGTGTAGTCACAGGAAAGGAAGGTAAGGGAAGTTCTTCCAATGGGGAAATCTGTTCTGGTGAAAATTACCTAAAAATGGGAATCTCACCTTGATATAAAGAGATATCCTATTACTTCCTGTTGTGTCTCTGGGACAGGAAGTGAAGGAAAATCTTCTTCATGAGACAGTCTACAAATTAAAAACCCGATAGAGGTCTTTACCATTCCCTACTGTAAGTCTAGGGAAAAAAAAAGTTTTGGATTTACATAAGCTCTAACACTTACAATCCAAACTTACAGTGATCTTCAAAGCCTGTTGAAAAACTGTAGACGATATGCCTGTCACAGTCACTGGGTAGATGGAAGTCTAGCGCAGTGCAAAACAAGTCAACATAAACTGTACTAGATTACACAATGGGGAAAGCGCTCCATCTGTTCTCTAAAGCTAGAAATACACTAGAGATTTTCACTCCAAATGTTTTGTTTTAAGAAGTTCATTCATTGTTAGTGGGGGTCACATCGATGTTCCTTTTTGACCGCAGTGATAAGAAAATTCGAAGGAGCAGGATGGAAAATGTTTCTCAAACAAAATTAATTTCTAACAGTATATGTGGTTTTTGTTCAGTAAAGTCTACTCTTTCCAATAGTGAATGTTAAATGCAAACAAAAACTAATTTTGAATGACATTCATCAAGTGGTTGAATGTATGGAGAATTTTCATACAAATGTTTGTATGAAAATCTACTGTAGGCAGGAATTATCGAACCTACTATTGCAAGTAGAACACATTGGAGAATTCAAGTGAACAAAAATATACTACAATTCTTATAAATGTGTCCATAAAACAAAAAGGCCCAAATACAGATTCTCTGAATTATAATTATTGCATATTTTGTATGAGCTTGGATACATTTCTAAAAGAAGGCATGGCCAACGTATACATTAGATTCACACAGAAACCTGGATATGGTTTTGCACCAAGGGCTTACTTAGATAGGTAAAAAAAAAAAAAAATGACAGTATCCATTAGTGCACCTAATGCATTAAGACATATTACTGGCACATTTTCAATGCATATTTAATGGTTTTGCATTGTATTAACAAAACACTTGACAGACGCCCCCCTCTGTGTTGATTTTCTATTGTATGGATTTTTGTATTACCATCTCAGCTAGTATGACTTTTTAAATGCATCTCAAATGTGCTGTAAACACCATAGGGGGATTTGTGGCGTGTTTGCAGAGCATTTATATTCACATCAATGGAAGCATAGGATGTCGGTAAAGCCTGGCAAACAACACATCAGGTCAATTTTGGTGCAACATGATGCTAATGCAACCATGTAAACATTGGGCGCTGTAATGCACACAATTTGTGGAGCCTAAAAAAGCTCATGATACGTCTGCTTTTAAAGCCAGTTTAAGCTTAAAGCGGAGTTCCACCTAAAAGGGGAAGTTCCGCTTTAAATGCTTTGTCCCCCGCTGCCCATTAAGGATTGGCACCTTTGGGGAGCAGGGGGGAGCAGGTACCCAAATTTGAAAAGTACTCGCTCCCACATCCGCTGCTATCCCCTAAGTGAGTGGAAGCAGAAGTTGTCCGTCCTCCCCCCCTCCCTCCCCATTGTCTTCTGGAACACATGACAGGTCCCAGAAGACTACGGGCCATGCACAAAGCACAGCGCTACTTGCGCATGTGCAGTAGGCACCTGGCTGTGAAGCTGCAAGCTGTCATAGCCGGGTGCCCACACGAAAGATGCCGGCACCAGGGAGAGAAGATGGTCAGTGAAACCAGCAGTGGTGAGGACACTGCTGGACCAAGAGACAGGTAAGTGTCTGTATTTTAAAAGTCAGCAGGTAGTCTTTTTTTTTTTTTCCAGCTGAAACTTACATACTCCATACATGGATTGAAATTCGGCAAGTTCAGCAAAAAACATCTGACTTTCAATCTGTGTGTAGCTTTCTCTGTTTAACAGAAGATGGCTTCTGTTGAGCTGTCTTGGGCCAATGGGATGCAGCACTGATCAGTGTATTCTGATGGTGGGGGATCCTGCTGTCAGAATACAAAAGCACAGATTTCCCTATTCCATCTCGAAAGCGTGGATGGAGAAATCAGTTCAGTTGTTTTCGTTCAGCCGGCTGGCTGAATGAAAAGAATTGATCCATGTATGGCCAGTTTTTAAAAAAATTTCATCTTACCCACAGACAGATCTCCCTTCTCCCACACAGCAAGTCAATGTTACCACTCACCAAAGCTTCAGTGGCACACTGGAAGACGTAACAAATATACTGGCTTATTCCCGGTTCCACACATTCACGACAGACAATACCAAAGTGATCAATATGTTTAATACCCTGTAAATCATAAGAACACAAAAAGCAAACAGCATTAGTCAACAAACACATTTTTTTTTTAGCCGAGAACAAGATGTAAGGTCTTATTTACTACAGCATTTTTCATTAAAATTGGGAGTAAACCAGAGAAACCTCTTTTCTGCATACTTGCATAAGACATTACAATTAAATGCTTTCAGTTCTTTTGAGCATAACATGGTTGTTAGGTTACACGGCTGTAACTGAAAAGTTTCAGTCTTGCATTACACTCGCAGAGTATTTGTAGAGAAGGCTCATTTTAGACCTCCTCTGCAGGTAATTGGGATATGGAAGCATATTTGATTTCAGCAAGAAAATGTCAGCACTGATAACCTGCAACACACTGAAAACTGAGGTATTACGATTTTGTTATCTTTGGATTGTCGCCACTAATATCATAATAGGACAATATACATTTAGGACCTCATGCACACTGGACATATTTGCTCTCTCTCCTAGACGCCTTTCCTCTTGTCAGTGGTGTTGTGGCAGAAAAACCAACTGATGCTTGCTTTGCATTCAGACAGATCTAGCACTTGGGCATTAATTAATTTAAATTTATTTAACAAACATATCATACTTACCTACTCTGTGCAGTAGTTTTGCAAATAGCTGCCTCTTCTTTTCGGGTCCCCTCCGAAGCTCTGGCTCCTCCCCGTCAAGCAGTGCCCCCCAGGAAAAGCCACTTGCCCTGGGGGGCACCGCTATATGTGGTGCGTCCACAAGACACAGAGCCGCGGCTTAGCCCTGTTCCCCCGCTCTCTCCTCATTGGCTCACTGGTTGTGATCGACAGCAGTGGAAGCCAATGGACTCCCGTTGCTGTCTCAGCCAATGGGTAGGGAGAGTCTCCATACAGCATGGGCTATTGTGAACATTTCTGGATAAGAGGGGTCACAGGTAAGAATGTGGGGGGGGGGGGGCTGGGGAGACCGCTGCACACAGAAGGCCCTAAGATCAGTGGCAAAAACCACCAAGTGTGCATGAGGCCTTACTTGTGGTTTAGGATTTTAGTGTTAGAGGTAAATTTCTCCTTGAGCATTATCTCACTAGGTTCAAGTTAAGGCCATTGTTCATACAATAGGACGACTATCAGAACAAGTTGCTGTGCATTTTTACCATGAATTGTTTAATGTAGTGTTTAATGATCCTGAAAGGACCACACAGGGCAATGCAACAAGCAATATGGACTGTAGTTTGTGCAAGTCGCGTGGGGGACCAGTGGATTGTGGTTTGTTTTATGCATTTTGCCTGCACTACAAACTAAATGGGAACATGGAAGGTGTGACTGAACCCGAAGGCTTGGGTTTATGGGTTACATCAAGGGTGAAGTACACCTGTCAAAATCAACTAGATGTTCAGAAGCCAATATCTACCCATATATAGTCAACCCAAATATCCTGCCTGATAACAGTCCACTTGAACATATAGGGATAATGAAAAATGCTATAGCTTGAGGGTGACATTGGAACCTTTTATACAACTCTTTTTAAACAGTCCATGTGATCATCCCCTCCAAATCATTAAAGCAGTTAGTGCAATCCAGGACTGCCTACATATGACAGGTTTGGTATCCTCACCATGTGGCAAAACTATTACAGATCAGGTGCCTGCAGGAGAAAAAAAAAGGAGAAATCTCAGGCTGTACAAGCAACAAGTATACAGCCAATTTAATTCATCAGGGTGCATAAAAAAGTGATAAGTAGATTAAATGAAACATGCCACAATAAAAAATGTACAAAAAGAGATTACTATCAGTGAATCTGATCCCAGAATTGATCAACAGGTTCAGACATATTAGGCCTAGAAGTGAGGGTTTTTTTTTTTTGGTCAATAAGGAGACCAGCAATAAAGACATTTTTTGCAAAGTCTTTGTCAGCTGTATTGTTGTCTGTGTAGCCATCCAGTGTTGTCACGGGAACAGAAAACTTCAGGAAATCTTCACAATGGTGCCTCAAAAATAAAAATCTGGCGGCATATTGTGGTCCAAAATCCCCCCCCCTCCCCCCCCGCATTATGGATCCATAATTCCATTGTGGCACATTCATTGATGCTTTGGTCTCGATATAAACTTAGATTAAATCTGGTCTCCTCTGTTTCTCCGGATACAGCATTTTTTTTGGTGACCGGGATTTTATTGCGGCTTTTTTTCATCTCCACAGGCGTTTCGTTGGTGGTATGATAGATCCTTCATTAGGTTATCTGATTTTCAAAGAGGAGGATCTTACATCACCTTTGAGATGTTACGCACACACTTTGATATCCCACTTCGTGAATATCATCGACAGATCAGACACTTGTTTTAGTTCACATTTTGGCCTTATACCTTCATCTCAGATTTCGTTTTTTGAATGTATTAGCCGACTCTCCTAGGGGCAGGGGTCTAATTTCAGATGTGTATCGTCAAATCTTGGCTAGTTCTTCTCCCACACCCCCTCTCTACAGACAAAAATGGGACAGTGACATTGGTATCTTTTCGGATGAAGACTGGGATTCCATGGTGGATAACATATGTAAGCGCTCCAGATCCCTTTCGGTCCGTGAGACAGCCCTCAATGTATTAACCAGATGGTATTATACCCCATCCAGAATACATGTCTTGTATGCAAACATGTCTAACCTATGTTTTCGTGGCTGTGGCCTTGCAGGTACTCTGGTGCATACATTTTGGACCTGTCCGGGTCTCTCTTTGGTGTGGCGTAGGATCTCGGAGGTGGCTTCTGCAAATGGCGGGGGGTTCCGGTGCATCTGACTGTGCAGTAATGCCTACTGGGAGCCCATATCCTGGGAGTTTAGACTGAGGTTATGAGGCTAATCCACACCATTTGTATATCCACCCTATGGGATATTGCCCTCCACACTGGAAGTCCCTCACAGAGCATTTGGCTTCTGTTCTGCAGAGGATTGATGCTGTGATGCTCATGGAAAGAATTCATTACACTTTACTGAACAAGATGCACTTATTAAAATCTGGCAGATGTTCCAAGCTTCTGCCTCAAACAAAAACTTTTTTTTACTGGTCTTCTACAGTAAGAGTACATCTGTCTACCCTGTCATTTATTCATGCAAAATTACTTCAGTTGTGTTATAGTAATTTGTAGATTTTGTGCCACGCTGTTTATTCATTTAGATTTTGATTTAGCTAGTGATTCAAAAGCTTCTTATAATAATCTATTAATTCAACAGAAGAGGCTAAATCCTTAATCCAGTCACCTTCACCACAGTGAACAAAGGGCTTTAGCTTTACACTATGTTGACAAATATTCACACTTTCCTGTTCATTCTGACACCATATACATCATACTTTGAAAAGAGTTGGAAGTTTACATGAAGGATTTATCTGGGACAGAAAAATATAAAAAGGGTAAGAGTTTGGAGGCCATTGCAACTGTCCGAAGTAGCACAATTAATTGTATCCATGTACTTTACAGAATATATACAAGCAGCCACAATATGTAGCAGCTTACGGATTCTTAGATGCGGTGGCTGTGTTATTTTCCTTTTTTAGACATTTTACCTTTATTTACACTTGGTGATCTAGCCTCTAGCCTCTAACCTGTTTATACCACAGATCTTCAGAGAACATCCAAACATTTTTTTACTGAAGAATGATAGTAAAGCGGGCACAGAATAATGTGACCACTTTCATGGGATCATGGCCATCCCGCCGCCCCTTCTTTCACACTAGTGACATCATAAGCAAAGATATATATAAGAAGCTGCATAATTTAATATTCAATTAAAGGATTCAAAATTACCCAGTCATAAAAGAAGGTAGTTTAAATAGCCAATAAAAAGTGATGGAAATTTCTGGAAGGTTTTGAAGGGTATATAAAGCCTCGCAGAGTGAGGTATTTTGTCAGGTGGCCACTGTTATAAAAAAAAAAAAAACAGCTGCCTCCCTCCCTTTGCAGGCACTTTATGTGGTGTGGTCATCCTGGATGCCTAGGGGGGACTTTTGATTGTTCGTAATTAAAGCTTATTATGCTTGAGTTCTAATAACTAAGCATATACTGTATTAGTTTCGGTGATAATATTGATGTTGTGCTGAATAAACAAACCTTGATATGTTTAAGATATAACAATATAGTGCCGTGGCCATTTATATTTGTGTCTTTGGTTAATTATTCGTATCCGAGGAAAAAAGTTCTGGAGTGTGGTGTGTGTGTGTGTGTGTGGGGGGGGGGGGGGGGGGGGGGGGGGGGGGTACGCCCTGCCATCCCATGATCACATCACAGTGTAAAAGTGCAACTTTCGTGCCGATTGGACCCTTTCTGATGAATGAGTCCTGTGCAGCTCTGAAACATTGTACTTTTATGCTGTGATGTGATCATTCTCAAAAAAAAAAAAAAATGTTTTTGTACATTATCTGAAGATCTATGGTGTGCTGCCAAATATATACACTGTTTTTTATATTGAGAATCATGGAATTACAGACCGTCTGTAAATATTTTTAAAACTGATTAGTAGTAAATGATTTACTTTTTACTCTTTACTGCTAATTAGTTTTACCTAGTGATTTTACATTTGACATCGGTAGTAAATAAGAAGAAGTTAGGTGTTTTTTCCTACATGGTTCACTTTTAAAAGATCCTCATGTTCCAATAACAGCTTTACAAGTAGAAACTAGGATCACAAAATAAAAGCTATATAACCTGACAGGTTTTTTCTGGATTCTTGGAGAAAGCCAGAACACTCAGAGGAAACCTATGCAAACCCTTAGGAGAACATAGGAGAGACCCAAGGGCCTCGTGCGCACAGGACATTTTAATAACAAGCCTCCTCTTGGCAGCAGCATTTTGACAGAAAAAAAAAAACCGCCTGAAGCTTGTCAAAGAGTCTAAACGCTTTAACAAGCATTTAGGTGCATTTACAAGCTTCAAGTACTTGGGTGTTAATTTCATTGGTTAGAATAATAATTTATTCTGGCCAATGAAATGAATTAACTCTTAAGCGCTAAACGCACTGAGCGTTGACACGCATTTATAAGCATCAAAGTGTTTTTTTCTGCCAATACACTGCTGCTCCTGGACACACTGACTCTGGGTTTTTCTTTTCCAGCTGGTAAATGCTACTATCACTAAAAGCTTCAAAAAGCCTATGTGTGCATGGACACATAGCATAACATGGAGGGCCATTTGGAAGCAGTAACAAAACAAAAAAATACAAACTCCTGTAGACCCTGAAAGTGGCTGCAATGCCCTGTGTGCAGGAGTCCTTAGAAAATAACATGGTTGCAGATTAAACCAGAAATGTAATCTCTAAATATATTAAACTCCAAATTGGTTTGTTAAGAAATTAAATACAGTGGGGCAAAAAAGTATTTAGTCAGCCACCAATTGTGCAAGTTCTCCCACTTAAAAAGATGAGAGAGGCCTGTAATTGGCATCATAGGTAGACCTCAACTATGAGAGACAAAATGAGAAAAAAAAAATCCAGACAATCACATTGGCTGATTTGGAAAGAAATTATTTGCAAATTATGGTGGAAAATAAGTATTTGGTCAATATCAAAAGTTCATCTCAATACTTTGTTATATATCCTTTGTTGGCAATGACAGAGGTCAAACGTTTCCTGTAAGTCTTCACAAGGTTGGCACACACTGTTGCTGGTATGTTGGCCCATTCCTCCATGCAGATCTCCTCTAGAGCAGTGATGTTTTGGGGCTGTCGCTGGGCAACACGGACTTTCAACTCCCTCCAAAGGTTTTCTATGGGGTTGAGATCTGGAGACTGGCTAGGCCACTCCAGGACCTTGAAATACTTCTTAGGAAGCCACTCCTTCATTGCCCGAGCAGTATGTTTGGGATCATTGTCATGTTGGAAGACCCAGCCATGTTTCATCTTCAATGCCTTTGCTGATGGAAGGAGGTTTGCACTCAAAATCTCACGAAACATGGCCCCATTCATTCTGTCCTGTACATGGATCAGTCGTCCTGGTCCCTTTGCGGAGAAGAAACAGCCCCAAAGCATGATGTTGCCACCCCCATGCTTCACAGTAGGTATGGTGTTCTTTGGATGCAACTCAGCATTCTCTCTCCTCCAAACACGACGAGAGTTGTGTTTCTACCAAACAGTTCTATTTTGGTTTCATCTGACCATATGACATTCTCCCAATCCTCTTCTGGATCATCCAAATGCTCTCTAGCAAACTTCAGACGGGCCCGGACATGTACTTGCTTAAGCAGGGGGACACGTCTAGCACTGCAGGATCTGAGTCCCTGGTGGCGTAGTGTGTTACTGATGGTAGCCTTTGTTACATTGGTCCTAGCTCTGTGCAGGTCATTCGCTAGGTCCCCCCGTGTTGTCCTGGGATTTTTGCTCACCGTTCTTGTGATCATTTTGACCCCACGGGGTGAGATCTTGCGTGGAGCCCCAGATCGAGGGAGATTATCAGTGGTCTTGTATGTCTTCCATTTTCTAATTATTGCTCCCACAGTTGATTTGTTCACACCAAGCTGCTTGCCTATTGCAGATTCAGTCTTCCCAGCCTGGTGCAGGTCTACAATTTTGTTTCTGGTGTCCTTTGACAGCTCTTTGGTCTTCTTCATAGGGGAGTTTGGAGTGTGACTGTTTGAGGTTGTGGACAGGTGTCTTTTATACTGATAACAAGTTCAAACAGGTGCCATTGATACAGGTAATGAGTGCAGGACAGAGGAGCCTCTTAAAGAAGAAGGTACAGGTCTGTGAGAGCCAGAAATCTTGCTTGTTTGTAGGTGACAAAATACTTATTTTCCACCATAATTTGCAAATAAATTCTTTCCAAATCAGCCGATGTGATTGTCTGGATTTTTTTTTTCTCATTTTGTCTCTCATAGTTGAGGTCTACCTATGATGCCAATTACAGGCCTCTCTCATATTTTTAAGTGGGATAACTTGCACAATTGGTGGCTGACTCAATACTTTTTTGCCCCACTGTATATATTTTATCAGCTTTCTTTTAACAGCCACGCTTTGAGAAAATCACATACAAGCAGCTAGTTAAGTTTTGCCTTATTTTAGTTTACCTTGGATCTGATATCCAAGGGAGATGCTTGCGTTTCCTGGTATTTGTTTAACAAACTTTTCACCTCCTAACATTGTTTGGAGAAAAACAAATCCAGACACTAAACAAATGCTAAAAAAAAACACACATACCTGAGAACATGACGAGATATCTTTGAAGTTCTTTTCCAGCACCGCCGTCTTGGAATCAGGACTTATGAGATTAATTTCAAACCTTCCAACCTTTAAAATAAATAAATCATATCAATTAAATCATAATAACAGTATGCGGCTGTAAACAATTTAATAGGTCCTTTTATAGCAAATATTAAGCCCACATTGTCTGTCTTTTTGAATACACTAGTAAAATACGCCAATTTTAACATCAATATAATTTTTTTGCTTCAAATTAATTTTTCAAATGTGGATAACCAATTATCTCTATACCATGTTTATTTGCAAATTTTGGCTTAGAGCATTAGAGCCTGTTTCACACAGTCTTCAGCTTGTAAAAGAGCAGTATGAACAGCAAGCTTTTAAAGAGCATTTGGAGCGCTTTCGGCACACTTTTTTTTTTTAAAGCTTTAAATGCTGCAGATCTATAAAAGGATACTTGTTGATGTTCCAGGAATCCAGTAATCGTCCAACAACCTGTTGAGCTAACACAGTAGTGCCTATAATGCACTAAAATCCAAAGTAGTGTTGCCGACACTGCCCAGTTCTTCCCTTGTAGACTATAGAACACCTGCACCTCTCCTCATCTCCAAAACATAACAAGGGAGCATGGCTTGGAAACATTGAAGGAAAAGTTCACCTTTTGACCAAAAAAATAATAAATGCCCAGATAAAAAAATGTGCATTTTTTTTTTGGGGTTGCAGGAGCCTGTAAACCATTCTGCTGATCGCTGGTGCCATGCAGATCTCCTGCAGAACTGTAAGTATCTGCTTGCCCGTTTGGAATGTACGAGAAAGCAGATATACCGACAGGAAGAATTAATGAACTTACACGGCGGTTCACTGCGCCATGGGAATTCATTGAAGACTACAAGCTGACAGCCGCTAAGACTGGACAAAGAAATGGATAACTGTAATCTTCCTGCGCTAGGGCGAGTTGGCCCAAATAACGTAAACAGGCTGTAGTCACGCCTTGGCCTTCATGGGATGCACTTGCCTTGCTGCCCTCAAAAGACTGGGGGGGGTCTAGGAGCACTGCAGGAACAATAGACAAACAGAGGGCACATTGGCCTAGTGCATTAACTTTTTTAAATGTTTAATTGGTAAAAAAGTAAGTAATATACTCAAAAAGTCATAAAAAATACAAATACATTTCATAAGTACAGCACAAACAGTCTGCAAAACATCGGGATGTGAAAGAACCAAGGAACATCCACAGGCTGATGTGTTTTGAGGACCTATCCTCTTCCTCAAAGCCTCAGGCTGCCAGGACTTGTAGTCTCTCATTCACAGAGGACTGTGGGCAAGCAGAGTGATGCAGCCAGGCAGGCAAAGCCCCGCGTGGCCACATTGTTTAAAAATATGACAGCTTGTGAGGGGAAGAGAAGATCCTCTACTAGCTGTCAAAGCAGATGCTGTTCTGATTTTGGGCAAGCAGATATGCCGACATGAAGATTCAATCTGTGAGTAGCCTTATTTATATCCAAACACATTGGACGTCAAGCCCTGTTTCACATGGGCTTCAGCTGGTATAAGAGCAGTGTGAACAGTAAGCTTTCAGTCTGGAAATATTATATGCAGATCCTGTGAGTGCTGATTTACACTTTAAAGAAGCTGCTAGTAGGCTTTCAACAAGCTTCAAGTAGTGCCAAATCCTGCTAGCAGCTTGTTTAAAGTGACAAATCAGCACTCCCATTAGCTACCTGCTTTAAATTATTTACAAACTAGAGCTGAATGGTACATTAAGGCTTCATGCACAAAGGATGTTTTCCTACTACTCCTCTCTAAGAAACCTTTTTTCCTGGCAGCAGTGTTTTGGCAGAAAGAAAAAGTCTGAGGCTTGTAAAAGTGTGTGTGCGCGTTTTGCAGCATCAACCATTTAGGCAATAATTCATTTCACTGGGAAAAATAATTAATTTATTCTGACCATTGAAATGAATGAACGCTGAAGCACTAAACGCGCCTAGCGTTAATGCGCATTTACACGTGTTTAGAAGCGTTAAAGCAGAACTCCACTCTCACAATCAACATTGACTATAACTATGTAATCCTTATGTTGCTAGCATTAGTAATTATATGGTAAAGTATATCATATTTACTTGCTTTACAGTTTGTTTTTTTCTTCAGTTACTTCCTAGTTTCCAGGCTTAGGCAAATGATGTTGTACATCCCAGGAGTTTTCAGGAGGGGAGGTAGGGTTCTCAGCTCAGCCAATGCCTGAGCTAAGGGAAGATGGATTTCAGGAAGTAAATGACACATAAATCATCTGCCTTTACTCAAAATGGCCACTGCCATAAATGCAAGAGAGTTTTTTCAAATTGATTTTCTCAGCAAAACAAAGCATGAAGCCATGGGTGGATGGGGGAATTTGCTTTGAATTTTAAAAGTGAATTAAATAGCATTTTTGGTTTGTGGTGTGCAGATCCACTTTAAAATGTTACTAAACCCAGGACCCTGCCATCACTATATGTTGTCTCCCACAGTATACACAACATGGAGATGCAATTATTTTAGTAACTATAAATTGCTAAATACCTTTTCTCATCAGCAGTTAGAGCAGTCTTGTGACGTCTATCAGTGTCCAGCACAGCACTGGTTAGAGCTTGTAGGAGGATTTTTCATTCTCCCCCGATTGTCTTACGGGGCTGCAGGACCCCTGACCCTCTATCTGGACAGCATGGATTGGCCCTGTTGTGATCACATGCACTCTCCCAAGAAAAAAAAATACATACCAAACTGAGCATATGCAGCTTGCCCCCAAGGCTCTGTTCTATGAGCGGATGGATTGGGGACTGTAGAAGGAGAGGATCAGAGAAGACAGGATCAAATCATCCTTTTTACACAATGCAGAGGATTAACCCCTTAGGTTCCACAGTGCGTATAAAAAGCATGCTTTACTGCATATAAAGACTGATTTTACTATTGTGGATTTAGTAGAATTTTAAGCACTTTTTGTTCTGTCAAAACTCTGCTGCTCTTGGACACAATGGTAGTGTTTTTGTTTTTTTTTTGCCTCTAAACATCTATGCCTCTTAACTCCTCTAGAAGTTTGTGTGTGCATGGACACATAGGCTAACATGCAGGGGAGCTTGGAGGCAAGAAAACGCCAGACACCCTAGAAGCAGCTGTAAAAAATGTCCAGTGTGCATGAGGCCAGGATCCATGCACACTGGGCTTAAAGCGGAGCTCCACCCCAAAAGGGGAAGTTCCGCTTTAAGGACTGCTCCCCCACTCCCCATTAAGGATTGGAACCTTTGGGAGAAAGGGGGGAGCGGGTACCTGAATTTGACAGGTACCCGCTCCCACTTTCTGGTCCGATCGCATAGGTGATCAGAAGGTGTCCTCCCTCCCTCCCTGTAGTCTTTTGGGACATGTGACAGGTCCCAGAAGACTACAGGACCATTCATGAAGCACAGCACTACTCACACATGTGCAGTGGGTACTCGGCTGTGAAGCCGCAAGCTGTCACAGCCGAGTGCCCACACTGAAGATGCCGGCCTCCTGGAATACAGGACGGCCGGTGAAACGGGCTGCGGGGGACACACCGTGGGACCGAGGCACAGGTAAATGGTTGTTTTTTTAAAAGTCAGCAGCTACAGTTTTTGTAGCTGCTGACTTTTATTTTATGACAGGGTGAGTGGAATTCTGCTTTAAGAAACGCTAGTTACCTTGGCAGAAAAAAAACACTAATAAAGAACAAATGCAGTTCAAACAGTTCACAGGAAATCCAAGGCATGTACAGTCAGACAGAAATCCTCTATCCAAAACATGAGCAAACAGGGAAACCTGTTGATCAGGCAAAGGCTGAATTCTCAGCAGTCAGTTTAACCATTCTCAATGAGAGCACTGGGTGTGTACAGCAGACTCGAGCGGAGCTGCAGTGCTGAGTAACAACCAGCAGATGGCGAAGGTTGAAGCCTGATCATGACATTTAGCTGAGCTAGTGCTGGGCTTTTTAATTAGACAGCCATCACAAGAAATCACTGCACACACAGAGGCATGTTTATTCGTAAATTAGTGCAAATAATAAACATAACCATATAAGACAGTGTATAGCCATATAAAATAATGACAAAACCTTAATGAAACCTGAAGCTTAGGTATGACCTTAATTGCATAGTTAGCTGGTCCAGCTTAGGAGTATTCCTATCTCATAACTAAGGGCCTACTGTGGAAGCTGATAATCACTGTAGTAGTTGGTGCTACTACAACGATCATCGTTATCTTCCATCTTTGGGGAGGGGGTAATGGTCATTGATGAGTGGAAATAAGAGGCACTGAGCAATGAAGAGAAACTGCTAGATGGAAAGAGGACGCCATAGAGTTACACCATTGTAGCAGCATTGTTAGGAGACATGTATGAAACTCCTTACTATGTGATACATTCTGTTTATTATGTAGCTTGGTATGTCATAATATTCAGATACATACATAGTAAAGCTGTAGTATTAGGATGTGTCATGCAAAATTATAGATAATGAATAAAGAGTGAAAATACCTGCAAAACAACAACTGTCCCAGGAGACAAAACACATTTTAACACTTACAGAATTTAAATAATGTGCAATAAGTGCTGCCTGAATGCTCCTCTGAGTCATGGGAATAAAAATGCACCTCTGAGTCATGGGAAGGAATTAACAGGTAAAAGGAATATAAATAAGCAGTTAGAGAATACTGAATCTGTATCAGACACAGATGGGAATAAACAGGAAAGCATGACAGCAATTTCCAGACAGAATAAGTGAGGGAAATAACCGATAATGTGTTACAGTAGGAATCAAACACTTTGGCACGGAGTGCTTGGAAGGAAATCAATTAGCCAAGATATATAAATATTTTATATTGAATAAAATCAAGGCCTCCACTATTCCGTGTAGGGTTAACGCAATCAAATCATGACAACACATCAACCTTCTATTGACCTGTGTACTTCTCTAGACACATGTAGAGTGCTCTCAGTTATCTTGTCACTTGGTCAGAAGGAAAACCCTAAATCGCACCAACAGTAGTACATGTACTACTTTAGAAATCAGTGCGGCTCTGACCTAGTCAGAACCACACTGATTTGA